CAACAGAGTTGAGATCATCAAACTTGACATGAATAGATTCTTCAACAAGTAGAGTTCTTTTGTTGAGTATTATGTAGGCTTTGCTCGTGCTAGAGTAGCCTAAGAATGTTCCTTCATCAGCTTTTTCTTGAAACACCTTGAGGTGATCCTTCCCATTGTTGAGTATATAGCATTTGCATCCAAATGCATGAAAGTAGCTGATGTTGGGTTTTCGTCCTTTCCATAATTCATAGGGAGTTTTCTGATGAGTTTTGTGAATCATGCTCCTGTTCTGGGTGTAGCATGCAGTATTGATTGCTTCAGCCCAGTATCTGTAAGGTAGACCTGATTCAGCAATCATGGTCCTTGCAGCTTCCTTCAAGGTTCTATTTCTTCTTTCTGCAACTCCATTCTGTTGAGGAGTTCTGGCTGCAGAGAGTTGATGCATTGTACCATTCTGGTCACAGAATTCCTGTATGACCTTGTTGACGAACTCTGTTCCTCTGTCTGATCTGATGGCTTTGACTTTCTGATTCTGTTCATTCTGTAGTAGCTTTAGCAGAGATGGCAGTTTCTGGAGAGTTTCATTTTTCTTGGTTAGAAAGATAGTCCATGTGAATCTGGAGTAGTCATCCACCATGACTAAGGTGTATCTCTTGCCACCAACACTTGGAGTTTCCACTGGTCCAAATAAATCCATGTGAATTAGATTCAAAGGACCAGTAGAGAGGTTTCCAGCAATGGGTTTGAAGGAGTTCTTCACTTGTTTTCCTTTCTGGCATGCACTGCACAAGTTCTCCTTTTGTATACAAGGTTGGGTAGACCTTCAACAATGTGATCCCTTGCTAGCTTGTTGATTGTTTTGAAATTCAAGTGACTCAGTTTCTTGTGCCATTCCCAACTGAGTTTTGAATCTCCTTTGGCTATCAGGCAAATTCCATCTTTTGCAGTTGACCAATCAACCACATAGATGTTTTTCTTCCTTGTTGCTATTAGAACCACTTCCTTAGTTGTCTCATGCTTGACAGAACATCCTTCCTTGGAGAATTCAACTGTGTAGCCTTTGTCACAGAATTGGCTAGCACTCAGCAAGTTGAATTTCAATCCTTTGACATAAGAGACATCATCAATGATTATCTGGTTCTTTATCAGCTTCCCTCTTCCTTTTGTCTGGCCATCTTTATCATTACCTCTAAAGGTAACTCTAGGCCCTTTGACTTTCTGGAACTCTGTTAGGCAACTCTTGTCACATGTCATGTGCCTGGAGCATCCACTATCAATGTACCAATCTTGCCCAGGGATGGCTCCAGCACACAGTTCCTACAAAATTAAAAGGAAGATTTAGGTACCCAAGCAAAGTTGGGTCCTAGGGGGTCATGCAGTCTTGGCAGCCGGTACCACTTTGGTCTCATCAAGTGAAACCTTGGTGGGTGGTACCCATTGTCCACCTGGTAGTCATAGTAAACGGAAGTGTGATTCACTTTGGGCAGATGCTTGTGAGGATCATGCTTCCGGTTTACATACTTCTACATAGCCTTTTTAGTTGGGTAGAAGTCCCATATACTATCAAGATCAGAGGGGCGATTAACTTTGGGCTTCTTAAGTTGACCAGCCAACCTTTTCTGCCTAAAGTTAACTTTCTCTTGATATCTGCCTTTCTGGTGATCATCTCTGACACGGTTATCATGAGTTTGTCTGTTATGGGTTTGTCTTTGATTTTTGGTATTCTGAAAAACTTTTCTGTTGTTAGGTTTTCTGCCAGGTTCATTAATTTTTAAAATGGGTTTCTGTTGAACCTTTATCTTTTCCTTTTCTGGTCTGACTTTCTCATGAATAACCTTGGTGCCAGATACACCAGCCTGACAAATGGGGCTAGAAATCAGTGGCACTATGACCTTGTCTGCCTTAGCAACTCTGGTGCTAGGCATTACAGAAGGCTCACCTGATTCTGTTGAGCCATAACCAAGACCAAAACCAGTGCCAATTTGTTGATCAAGTACAATCTTTTCCATGGAAGACTGGGCCTTCTGGTAAGCTTTGTACTTAATCTCAAGAGGCTCTATCTCTCTTATTTTCTTTAGAAGAGAAACATTTTCAGCTTCCAGCTGATCTCTTTCCTTAATTAGAAGATTGATTTTGATCTCAACCTCCTTTCTTAAGTCAAGAATTTCAACCTTAAGCTTACTGTTTTCTTCTTTAACAGAAGAATAAGTGGTTTGAATGGCTTGAAACTCTTCCCAAAATTCTGACATTGAATCAGAATCAAAGGCTCTGCCTACCGAGGAAAAACTAGAGTTGGAAGTAGAAGATACCTCATCATCAGATTGACCCATAAGGCATAGGTCTTCAGTCTCTGTATCCAGGCAACAGAATGCTTCATCAGATTCTGATTCCGAGCTGGACTCTGTCTCAGAGAGGGGGTCCTTCTCTGGTTGTTCAGTGATGAGTGCCTTCCTTCTTCGGTGCTCATATTTCTTTTCCTCTTCCTGGCCTTGCCTTTTGGAGACTATGGGGTGTGGACAGTTGACTTTGAAGTGCCCTGGTTGTCTGCAGTTGTAGCAGAGAAGCTCTCCACTACTTTCTGATGGTTTGGACTTCTGGTGTGGCTTTCTGCTAGAGAGTGGACTTCTGTTATCCTTCGGCTTCAAGAATTTCCTGAACTTCCTAGCAAAAGCCGCCATATACTCGTCAGTTAAAAGAATAGAAGGGTCAAAATTATTTACCTGAGAGGTGCTGGCAGTGAGGACAGTAGTTGTTCTGTCCTCAACTTCTTCTTTTTCTTCTTCATTCATCTCAAACTCATAAGACTTGAGGTCAGAGATGAGTTTCTCAGTGCTGTAGGTTCTGAGATCCTTGCTATCTCTCATGGCAGTGACCTTCATCTTCCATGGTGAAGGTAAACCTCTGAGAACCTTCAAGTTGATCTCCTTGGGAGTAAGTTCCTTCCCAAGTTCTGATATCTCAGCAGTGAGGGTGAGCAAGCGTGCATACATCTCAGCTATGCATTCTTTGGGTAGAAGTTTGAAGTCTTCAAACTTCTTCATGGCAATGGTAAGTTTGTTGTCCTTTTCTTGCTCATCTCCAGCTCCTATCAGGGTAAGAGTATCCCAGATTTCCTTGGCAGATTTGCACTTCTTGATCCTTGTGAAGTACTTGTCATCAATGGCTTTGTAGAGGATATCCTTGGCAATGTTGTCAAGGTTGTACTTCCTCCTCTCTTCATTGGACCATTCATTGCGCAGTTTGGTGATCATCTGGGGTTGACCACTACCAGTGATGTATTCAGGGTTGACCTTGGTGAACTCTGTGAAAGGACCTGCATCAAGAACTTCCCACATTTCATCATGGAGTGCGCAGAGGTGAGCTTTCATGCGGATCCTACAGTCATCAAACTTTGTTACTGAGAACATAAGATTCTTTGAAAGAGTGTTATCCATAATATGAGATTAAAGAGGCTAAAACAAGTGGATCTCTTGTTTAGTAAGTAACCTAAAAGATTACAAGAACAAGGAGGCTCTGATACCACTTGTTGGTCCCGTTTGTAATGGAAACAGTCTAGAGGGGGGGGGGTGAATAGACTGTTTAGGAATTTAAACTTTTCTCTAAGTCAAGTCTGACTTATCAGAGATGGTCCAAATCTGGTGACAGAGATGGTCACGTTCTGATGGCAGAACTAGACCAGGCAGCGGATAAGTTTCTGTCCGGGTAGCCTCTAGAAGAAAGCTAAGGCAAAATGCCTTTCTGATAACTCTGAAGGAAGATCTGCTGGACACAGAGTCCAACCTGAAGAGTTAGTCAGTAGAATCTTAAGTGCAGGAATTAAAAGCTTAAAGTAAATGACACCGGGGTTTTTATAGTGGTTCAAGGAACAACTTGTTCCTCTAGTCCACTGTTCCACTAAGCTTGCAAAAACAACAGTTTACAACGCCTTAGTCCCTAGAACTTAAGAAGCACTCCTCGTCTTCTTCAAGTCTAGTTGCCACCCGGGATGCAGTCCTGCTTCCTGATGGCTGATCTCGTTTCACTGAGTCTCTTGAAGTATCCCCACTTCACTTACTCCAGCTAGTTTGAGACGTCCCTTCTTTTTCAAGAAGTGTTTGATATAAAATCAGTTTTCTCCAACGTTGCTTCTTCACAAAGGATGAGTATATGAAGCTTTCGAAGTGTTGAAGAACTGAGTAACTTTGCAGTTTGCTAGTTGGATGAAGGATAAGAAAGTATATCTTCCAACTGGAGCCTTTTCTTGTCTAAGGATGAAGTTTGAATCTCAAGAAGGTTGTTTTTACGCAAAGTTTTTTTCTCTTAGTTCTTCAGAGTGTATCTTATATACTGGGAGCAGTCTTCCCGTTGGAGTGTAGAAGACAGCTTCATTAATTGCATGTACTGTTGACTTGACCGGTTGGACCTTCGACTTGCTATTTTGGGGGCGTAAAGATACTCGCATGGTCAGTCATCAGCTTTAAATATCTCTTCGTACGTACAACATTAAATGTGCATTTAATGCGTGTACAGTACCATGTTTCCGTTGAAAGGTTCGTAACCGTTAGGGGATTTCCCGTTAGTTTAACGACCGTTGGAAAGGCTTCCGGAATCTGGTGGGTTTAGCAGAGTCTTAAGAGGCTCTCTGGTCCAATCTCTGAAGTCCGTCTCTGTTGCCAACTCTGGTATCTTTCTGATGACCAGTTTCTGATGGCTTCTCTGGTGAGCAACTCTGGGAGCAACTCTGGTAGAGGCAAGATGAAACTCTGGCAGACAGACTAAGCTAAAACTTACAAAAGAAATTCTAATACACAATTTCTAATGGGGTACTTTCAAATTCTAATTAACCTAGCATCATCAAAATCTAAATACATTTATTCCTTACAGAAGTGTCGACGATAAAATCATGGAATCTGTTGATGGGACGAGTGGAGGCGTCTTCTTTTTGTAAGGTCACGGTGGCACTCGAAAAACATATGTATGGAACACTTTATCGGCAGCAATAAGATCACGAGGTCAAATATTGTTGAATGTTGCATCGAGTGGGATTGCATCACTTCTGTTTTTGGATGAACGGTAATTGTATTAAACCCCCAAAAATAACATTGTACAATGTGTCACACAAGATCAAAAGGAAGGCTATCTAAGTTAGAAAAAAATCTAACCTAAATATAATGCATCACCCTGAAAATCCATAAAGAGAAACAGACAGAAGAGTTATCACCACACCACATCCTTCTAAAAGAAAAACAAATAGACAGTTAGCCCAAACCCTTTTGAGCCGATTTTTTGTCTCTAGCTTCCTCCATTTTCTTCCTCAGTTCCATAATTTTTTTCTTACATTCTTCAAAGATTTCCTAATCTTCGGCACATAGGCCTATTCTTCCAGAGTCCGATTCCTCACTTTCCGAATCTTCCGGTGAGGAGGTGTCCCCGTTCAATTCACAGTCCTGCACCTTTTCCAGCTCGCTAGCAACATCAATATTGATACGTTCGTAATTTCCATATTTATGTTTGTATTTTTAATTAGTTTTGCTTGACCTTTACTTTGGAAATTACACACTTTTGGTGTAATAGATTAGTTTGTTAAATTCTTGTAAATAGGTTAGATTAGATATATTATGAGCTCAAACAGGCATTGATCACTCGAAGTACAGTTGGTGAACCCAAAAAGTGGAAAGAAGGTGCAAAAGTCAAAGACAAAAGAAGATCCTGAATTTTGGTCTATACTCGGTCGAGTATTAGCTATACTCGAACGGGTATTAGGTTGGAACTTCAAATCGGATCAGATCCGAAGACAAGGGAACATGCCGGGAAGATTTCGGCCACGATTTTATGTCTATGCCCAATCGGGTAGATCGACATACCCGATCGGGTATGCCTTTGAATTTCAGACGAAGATCGGTCGAGTATGGTCCGAATACCATTATCTAAGCATACTCGACCGGGTATTAATATATACTCGATCGGGTATAGTTATAGAAAATAGCCTGAAACCGGTCGAGTATATCTCGGATCGAGTGTTACACACGTACTCGATCGGGGGTACCATGTATATACCCGATCGAGTACCCGAATCCCATCCCAAAAGCCTATAAATACACCTCCTTTCCTTCACAAAAAGATATCCAATTCCTTTGTACATCTAAGCTCAGTATAGAATAGCTCTTTCTTTATATTTTTCATCATGTTTAGTCTCCAAATGAGGAGCTAAACTCTTCCATCTTGGTTTTGCTACTTTGAAGCTTATATAGGTTGAATTAAACTCATATAGGTTGTTTATCTTAGTGTTTTTAAAGCAAACAAATCTAAACCCCCCTTTTTTGTTACTATTTATATAAAAGAAAAGTATTCCTTTCCCTGTGGATACGAACCTTACTACACTATACTACGTATTAGTGTCGTATTGATTAAGTATTTTGAGTGCACCTAACGACAAGTGCACGTCAAGTATCATCTGGAATTGTTTTACCATCCTCCTCAGCCTCGACCTCGTCATCCCTTATTGTTTTAAATTTTGTCTCCCTGCCCTTAATCACCGTCTTCTCTTCCTTCTCTTCTTTAGCCATTTCCCGTTCTTTCGCTGCCAGTTTTTTGCAAATAAATGGGTGGTGCCCATATTCTTTGCAATGAAAACAGAAGTTGGGGAAGGTCTCGTACACCACAGATTGATTGACTACTTTACGGGAAGGTAGCTGAATAGGAAATGAAAGCGGTGGTGGTTTGGAAACATCAACCTCAATCAAAACCCTAGCATAGAGATGGTTGCTCCTGTCTTGGGTTACTTTATCCGTGGATAATGGGACCCCAACCATGGAAGCAATCTCACTCATAGCTTCCTGATTCCAAAGCTTCATGTGTAAATTGGGGAAATTTCACCCAAATGGGGACCTTAAGAAATTCATCATCATCAAATGAAAAATCCTCCGAAAGAGCTTTCAACATTAGTTGTATACCAAAAATGGTATAAGGTCCCCCCTTCAACACTTTTTGTCTATCTTCTTCATTGTGAAATTTAAAAATAACCCACCCCTTTTGGTGAGTTTTCACAATGCAACTCACACCCCAAGTATTTTTCAATTCATAGATGACCTTAAGTCCGGGATGTTTCCCGGTAAACATACCAACAAGGCAAAAACCCCACATCTCAATCATGGAGGGAAGTTTCCTATCAACAAAGTCTAGGGAGTTGCCTTTTGGCGGGATATACCTCAGTTTGATACCATTTGAGGGGTCTCGGTTATCTTTGAAGAGTGCAGACCATGTCTTCTGTCTCAGTTGTTCCAGCTGCTCAGACAACATCTCATCTAGTTTCCCATTTTGCACCATATTACTGGCAGTAGCACAAGTCTTGCTAGGAATTGTTGTAGTCCCAGGGGAATCAACAACTTGGATCCCTGCAGCAGCAAAAGGCTTGCTTGGAACTCTTGCAGTCCTTGGGGTATTAGCATGGTCACAGTTTGGTTTTCCTGCATCACTTCTTCTTCCTAGAGGACGTACTGTGCACTCAAGGTGTGCTATTCCACTCAATGTTACTGAAGACTCAACCTGCAATATAAAGCGTGGTAGTGTGTTGGCTAAATTAATTCAAATGGCCAAGTTTATTATTTGGGATGAGGCCCTATGATACACAGGCATGATTTGCCCACAACAAATTAAATTATAATCTATTCCATTAAATTACAATATAATTTTATTAAAACAAAAAATAGTAGTAATATGTATTTTATTGAATGTGTTCTCAAAAAAAGAAAAACTCTAGGAAATTTTTAATTAACTTATGGTTCATTTTGGGAATTATTAGTTTTGCCATATTTGAAGATCACATCACACCATTGGAGGTTGATAATCCTTGTTGTGGTTGCTCCTACAATTGCAACAGTGGGTTTAGTTTTTTACACATGCATGTGAATACTGTACAAATTGATTAGTTTTATATGATATAAATAAAAACTTTGACTAGGATAAAAACTTAAACTGAAATGCATTCCTTTTTTTCTTTCAGAGTAAAGCCGCCGCCAACATGTAAATTAAGGCCACATAAAGTTTCTTAAGTTTTAGAATTTCTGGAACACTCCTCACGCTCTATTCACCATCGCTTGCCTCAAGGGCTTAAGAGGGCTTTATGTTGGTTTTTACCCTGCTGTTCTTGGATCAACTATTTCATGGAGCTTATATTTTTACTTTTATAGCATAGCAAAGAAAATGTACATGAAAGACATGAAGGAGTCAAACCCCGATTTTCATCTTGCTTCAGCTTCTAAAGCAGGAGCTTTGGTATGGTTTTGCACCAATCCTCTTTGGCTTGGAAAGACAAGATTGCAACTGCAGACTCCTCAACATCATACTCGCCCTTATTATGGCTTTCATGATGCTTTAAAAACCATAATGAAAGAAGAAGAGTGGAAGGCACTTTACAAGGAAATTGGACCAGGTAAGTTATTATCCTCTTATATCCTTAACCAACCTTGGCACTTATCATCAAGGCACGAGGGTATGGTTCTAATCCTTGATACGTTGATACACTCACAATTATATTTATGTGCTTTTTTTATGTGTGCAACGTGCTATTCAGTGAGGATAAAATGTATGTCGTCGATGGCTCACTTCTCACCATTGAAGATTATTGTTTGCTTCCTTGCATAGGTGCTATTGCAGATGTTTAGGCCTTTTTATTTCCTGTAGATGATGTTTTAGCACAATTCTATAATTTAAAGTGTATTTTTTTCTTTTGGATTGTGCTTTATTACATTTATGACTTCAAGGGTATGCCCCTATGAATCACGTACATTTATATGAAAACATGAGATATAAATAAAGTAATTGTCCTAAGTAGGACTAAAACATAATGAAAATGCACTAATAGGACCTTAATTTTTTTATTCCTTAAGTAGGACTATATTAGTCCTATGTAAAAACATAATAAACTTTCATACCCTTAATACCCTTCTTTTAATTAATTCCTAAAATTCCTTAATTTCCATCCTATTCTCTCTCCTTGCACGATCAATTACCTTTCTCCTTGTGCTTAGGAATAGATCGACTTCTCCTGTTCTCCCCTACAACTTCTCTTCTTGCATCGCAGCCACCGCCGTCTCTCCCGCCTCAGGCCGCTATCGTCACTACCGACTTCGCCACACGCTGTCACTGGTTTCCTCTCTTCTTCTTCTTCTTCTTCTTCTTCTTCTTCTTCTTCTTCTTCTTCTTCTTCTTCTTCTTCTTCTTCTTCTTCTTCTTCTTCTTCTTCTTCTTCTTCTTCTTCTTCTTCTTCTTCTTCTTCTTCTTCTTCTTCTTCTTCTTCTTCTTCTTCTTCTTCTTCTTCTTCTTCTTCTTCTCCTCCTCCTCCTCCTCCTCCTCCTCCTCCTCCTCCTCCTCCTCCTCCTCCTCCTCCTCCTTCTCTTCTTCTTCTTCCTCTTCTCCGATCTTCTCCGATCTCCTCCTCCTTCCCCTCCTTCTTCTCCTATTCCTCTATTTAAATGAGATTTGCCACTGATTTTTCTAGTTTTCCTCATATTGTTACATTTCCCTGGGTTTTGACACTGATTTTGCCAATTTTAGGATTTTTTTTGTATTTTCTGACTTTTTGTTTCAGATTTCTTAGTTTTTTTAAAAGTTCAAATTATCCAAAAGTTTGGATGATGGCTTCAGATTTTGCCAAGTTTATGGCAGAAATGTGTACACCAACACCCATATAATGGCAAAAACGTTTTTGTGTAAATCGATTTTGCTAAATTTTTGTCATTCGCCTCGTATATTTAATTTTAGATTATGTTATGGTGCTTATTTCATTTTTTTTGAATTTTTGGTTATTGACTTCATTTTTTGCCAAATTTATGACAGTCTCGTGTAAAACTCCAAGATAAATCTGCCAACTTTATGGCAAATATGAAAAACCTTATTGATGGCATATTTCAAATACTCTTGAAAGTTAAATCTTCCAACGTAATGGCAGATGTATGGCGTCAAAGCTGTGATGACGGCGGCGGTGCTCGAAGTTGGGGTGGTGGCCATGGTGCACCAGAGATGGCGGAGGATGGTGACGGCGACAAATTGTAACGCTGGTTGGGCTACACCACTCGGCGGCGATGGATGGTGGCACTAGGGAGGGGTTAAATCGGTGGTTGAACATTGCACGATGTTTGCCTTTTTTTCCGGAAACTGCCATCTAAACTAATTAATTAAAAACTAACTAATTATGATTCAAGGATAAAATTGGCAAAGCAGACCCTTTTAAGTCCTAGGAAACACCACTCACTTTCTAGTCCTATTTGTGCACATGAAACTAATTTTAGTCCTAATGGGTCATTAAGTCATGTATATATCCAAAAGATTTCTCACTAAAGTAGGAGAGATTTGTAGTTTACTTCCATATATAGCAATATACAAAAACATGGCAAGATCTACCACCTTAAATCTCAATAGCCTAATAACGTTACTTTTAATGCATATTAAGGGGTTTACTTATATAGGAGATTACTTACTTTGTTCCTATATATACAAAATATATGTGCACAATTTGGTAATGTTTTTTTTTTAATTTTTGATTTATTCAAAAAAATGTAATTTGTTTTTTTCGAATTTTATTTTTCTGTTTAATTAATTAAATGTTTTTCATTTAGTAAGTTATCGTTTATTGTAATATTTTGAATATATTGTAAATAAAATAACCATACTTAAATAACACGTTAATTGATCTACAAGTATGATTAAAAATTTATATATTGCTCTTTCTAATCAAGAGATAAATAGTAATTAGAGATGCTATATTAGTATTATTATTTATAAGAATATGTGAAGTGTATATATTCATATATGTCTCTGAACTTGCAATGAAACGAATTTTGAAAACTTAATAACTTTGTAATTCAGCCTCATTCAATATTAATATTAGCCATAATATTATTACTTTGTCTGTAAATAGTAATAAAGTCAATACTCTTAAACACTCAAAATAACACTCACAAAATATTAAATGAAAATTCAATGGCATTGAGAAGTCTAAGATCAAACTTGTTTGAAACAATATGTGAACAAAAGTATAAAAGGCGGTACTGAATCAAATAGAAAATAATAATTCAATATCATGACTTTTCAATCTTGACGGGCTTAAGTTTCTTGTTGCTTGAGCCCTGTATTGAGCAGTTGACATCACAAATGACTGCTTCTTCCAATTCTCGACATCGTCCACTTGATTTTGGAGTTCCTTTCCCATCAGTTTCAGTGTCTTAAATAACCCGCAACAAAAAATTTGTAAACTGCCTCTCAAATTTATTATTTACTATGTTTACTATTCTGGTGAAGTCGACTGAATGACGTTGTTACGTTATTATTATAATACCAATGGTGAAGTAGTTTTGCTTTTGCACTTTCCTAAGCTAATCTATTAGCTATTTTGATGCACATTTAAGCAGTTTTCCAGATCAATTACAGTATACCACCAACATAATCTCGTGTGTGAATCCGTAGAGTTAAGGTATTACCACATTTGAGTCTATTGTCGGCAAAGATTCAAAAAGAAATTCCAAGTTAAGGTACAATTCAGATGAATTGTACGCCTCTGGATAATTTTTAAGTTTTAAAATGGATAAATATTTAATGAAACAAAGATATATTAAAACGTTTGAGGTATATTACCTCAGAACTCGTTCCCTCACTTCCTGTTGCCAACTTGAATTGCTTTATTTTTTCTTTATCACTCGATATCATGCCTATTACATAAACCTCTTCACCATAGTTAGAGTCTGTGTTTGCAGACATGGTTTTGAATAGATATTCTTGTCCGATCAATTCAGATATGACTTCAGGGCAACTGATAGGTCTAAGTGTTGCCTACAAACAGTTAGTTGTTTGGAAATTATATGTTACAGTATATGAATATAAATATATTTTTAAACAAATAATTTAAATATGAAGTACATAAGTACCACATCGAGGTGTTCGTGAAAATCTCCTGCCGCCTTTCCAAATAGTAGTCGTCCTCATCCCAGAACATTACATCTGCAAAGTTTGTCCCATGCCTGAATTTCATTTTCAAAGTATATCGCCAAACACCCTCATCTCTACTTCTACCGCACTTGCTGCACACTACATGTTCTTCACGCAGTTTCTTACAACACTTCGCGTCACCACAACAAAAATAAGCCAAATTCCGTGAAGAAAATGTGGGATGTATCACACCATAGAACCATCATCCTCGAACATCTGCATTGAATATAAGCTTTGAGAAGAGGTGTATGTAATATGATGCAAGCTATGTTTAGAATATAAGATGTTTCTTCTTTCTCATACAAGTTCTTCAAATTTAATAAACGGTATAAAGAAGTTTACACTGTTGAGCATTGCATATATGTTTACAAAATTAAACATGATTACTGTTTAATTTTAGAATTGCTAAAACAAATAAACTATCCCTGAGGCATTAATAAGAGAAAAAATTTAAACGATACTATGTAATTATTACTTATCAAATTAAAGAATATATTATAATTTATATATTACTCTCAAGATCGAATATCAGAGGCATTTGAAAATTGTGTTATAAGACACGTTAATGAGAAACATGGACCGATAGGCACTACTAGAATTTTCCTTATTTGCTTCTCTCCAATTGCTGCGGTTCTTATCTAAACCGCAACAAATAAGCAAAATTTATAAGTATTTGTTGCAGTTCCTTTACGACCGCAACAAAAAGTAGGAAAAATTCATACCTTTTGCTGCGGTTGTATAGGAACCGCAGCAAATACTTACTATATTTCGAATTTAATTTTTTTTTGCTGAAGCTTTTTGCCGCGGGTAAAGGTGAACCGCATCAATCGTTATGTAGTTGCTGCGATTGTATGGAGAACCGCAGCAAAAGGGGGTATTTACCCTCTTTCCGACCTTTCAATCGGCAAAAACCAGCTAGCCCCCTCCCAGAAAACCCTACGGGCCAATTAACCTTGGTGCAACCACCGAAGCCAAGTCGCCGACAGGCCTTGCTGACGGCCCTCACCGACGTCCATCGCTGACGTAATTTTTGGCGCCGTTCAGAGGTGCCGTCCGAAAAATGATATGTGCAGATTATCAGTGAAACTGGCCACTTCTCCATGGTGCAATCCGTCTCTCGTTCGAATCTCAGGTCATCTCTCTTTCTCTCTGGATAAGCTTTACAGGGTTGGACAAATTTCTACAGCAGAATGCCAGCACACAGACAAACACCTATACTATATATAGATACGCTTGGGTGCGTGTATGGATGCATATATTATGCTCAGATGGAATTTTATGCATTTATAGATTCCATTACTTCAGGTCGTTCAGTTTCACTTAGTTGCGATTGAAGTTCCAATGTCCAGAAGCATTTATACATTAAGAAGATGTTTTGGGTAGTTTATTACCAAGTGCAAAAACAAATTACATTCTTGTTTTATTTTGGTGAAACAACGTCTGATACAGGAGTTGGCATTACTCTGGAGGAATACCAACATTTGAGGTACCAAATGGCCCTGTTCAGGCTAGTAAATGGGGTTAGTAAAGCCATTTCATGGTTTTTTTTTTTAATTTACAACACTCATTCTCAGACGGTCTGATAATGAATTCCACTTCTGTCTCCTTCTGTTAGATGGGTTGATATCTATTTCTACTACAAGTAAGTTTTATCGCCACATGTTATAACACTGTTGTAAAAGTTCAAACATCACTCTTTCTGATATTACACAATTTGTGAACAATGTAATTCATGATTCAACCAGAGTAGTTGACAAAATCATAAGGTATTTTTCAATTAAAGATGCAAAACATTAAATAGAGCTTATGCCTCCTCCTCCTAACAAATAGACTCAGGTGAAAGGTCGTTTGGTAGAATTAACTAACCTATGATTTTACATTACTAATTACCAATAAAACTCTCATCACATATTTTTTTTCAAACTTATACTACAGCTGCGGGATTAGTTTCCTTGCGTGGATTGAAGCATAAAGAAAGGGTAAATTCCACTTAGGTCGGGTTCTGTTTGCAATTTACAATTTTCGAGTTCTCCAAAGCAACCAACAATGGCTTTGAACCCTCAATCCCCTATTTATTCCTGCTGGAACCAACAAATCATCGACTATTCATCCACAACCACTTCGACCTGCTCTTCACCGCCTTTCACCACAGCCCTTTTCCATCCTCCTCTCAAGGTATGGTGTCATATATATATATAAATTCATACCTACACGCATGTACAATTAGGTTTCCTGATTATCAATTCCTTCAATGACTGCAGAGTTTTCTGGGACTAGGGTTTCACTCTTCAGGAGGCAGCTCAATCCTCTATGGCGGGCATCATCACGCTATTTGCAAACTACTCATTTCTCTAACAATCTTAACCAGCAAGGTGATTTTCCTCTTTATTTTTTTTTTCATATGTCCTTTTTCGGGAGATTAACTCTACTTAGGCTGTTATAGTTATACACTATAACTTATGATGTGATGACATGGTGAAGTGGACATTTAAATCAAGTGCTTTGGTTTATAGAAGCAATTCTTTCCCTGCATCTTCTGACACATAGCAGAAAACGAACCACTGCAGGTATTTCTGACAAAGATATGCATAACTTAAACCTCTACATGAAAAACACCGTTTCTTCTAAGAGACTGACTAGACTGCCTTCAACCTCAAAGAATGGCGCACATTTCAGGCATATCCGCTCTTACACCTCATTAGCATTTTACAGCTTAATTTTAGTTATAAATTTTGTTTTCATCTCACAGTGGCATTGAGGTATCAATATCTACATTTGAATGTTTTGATCACTTATCGGAAGATTTAACCTTATTTTTTAAGAAGGTGAGCAACATGTCTTACCACTTATCAAATCTTTGTTCATCTGTAGTTATGTCAGGTTAGTCTAGTTTCTCGTTTCTAACTTCTTACTTCATTACTTACTATTAACATTCAGCTTATTTTGATAATCTTACATATGTTCGTTTTAAAAATACCAGTAAGTTCATGCGTTTTCGTGAAATATTTTATGCCTTATGTTTAGAAATATAAGAAAATCAATCTTTCTGATATTACAAGTTTATATGTGGAGTATGGGTAACAGTGTAACACTTTTCATTCGGAAGGTCTTTTCTTTTTGCAGGATAAAAACTTAATTCATATTAATAAGATCATTATCCACGATACATGATAAGAAGTCCGGAGGATTAGAAAACCAAGCGTGCAATTCAGAATCACCATAGTGTAATTTGCTGGTACAGAACATGAAAAGTATTCATTTTTTTAATCAGCTTCTCTTATGAAGAATATTAACAGATTTTCTAAGATGCAAGAAAATGGTTTTCTTTCTTTTGGTTTGCTTGTCCAAATATTTAATATCATACTTCTTAAACTGCTATAATCCTTGTATGGATGAGCACATATGATTTTTCCTATTACCATCATACCATGTAATTAAAAGTCGCTTAGATTCTTTTTCAGTTCTTGATTTTTCATGCTCCTTTACAGTTGGTTGCAGTTGAACTGTTGGTTGATTACTATAACATGCCTGCATCATGCACGGAAAATTTTATTATGGGCATTGAGTGTGGTTCTTTAACTTTTCCGGTAGAAAGCGTCACCAGCCTAAGAACAGATTTTGAGGATTATGTCCTTAAGCACAGGGATAAACTGGACAGTGTTTGTCCTTCTTGCTTTTCAACTGGGTAAGTTCTAAATAAGCCAGTGCTATTTTCTGTTTATTATTGATGTGTTTATTTTCTCTAATTATGTGTTTTTAATATTTTAGGTTTCTTGGAGTACCGGACGAGATCAATATTTGTCGAGAGATGAAGTGTGTGAAGTTTGCGATGCATTGGTGATACAAGTGTGTGATAATTTATTGTAAACTACTACGTATTAGTTTTTATAAACTTTAAAAGATGAGGATTTCTATTGTATGTATAATGAACTTTGGTGATGTATACCTTAGTTCTTTTGGAATTATGGTTTTGTTTTGTGATGTAAGATGCTCTTGTTGTAATTTGAAAGTTTCTTATTTTATAAATAACATATGTTTTGGTTTGAAACACCATGTTTGTAAACTTGGCCATTGCGGTAGTAGAACAAAACAAAAATAAATATTACAATATTAGTTTTTTTTAAATATTTTTTGCTGCAATAAAAAAATTAAAAAGTAAGACTATTTGCTGCATTTCAAATAGCTATTTGCTGCGGTTCCGAACTGCAGCAATAAGTCAAAATTCATTTTTTTAAAATAGCTATTTGCTGCGGTTCTGAACCGCAACAAATACGTTTTCCTACAATTTGCTGCTCCGCCAATTGCTGCGGTTCAAAACCGCAGCAAATAACTAAAAATGACCGCAACAAATAGCTATTTTTCTAGTAGTGAATATAAATCCTCTCAACCATACAAATGCTTTAAATCAAAACAAAGTGAATAAAACTAACTTGCTACAAATGATAAGAGAGTTGAGCACAATATGAGTAAGTGACGTGCACTTTGTCGTGATGTGCACTCAAAATAAATACAATACAACGATTATACGTAGTATAACGAAGTAAGGTTCGTATCCACAGGGAAAGGAATACTTTTCTTTTATATAATGAGTAACAAAGGGGGGGGGGGGGGGTTGAGTTTGATTTAATTTAATTTAATTAACACTAAGATGAACGACTTATGTGGTTTAATTAATAGAGATGATGACTTGGTTTTGCTTTTATCCACTTAATGAAATGTTCGTCGATCCCGGTTATATCTTTAACTATCTTCCTCTCGAATACTCAATCGAGGAGTATATCCAGTTCATCGAGGGTAGTTATTAATAACGATATGCGTTCATTAATAAAACTTACTGTCGAGTCAATATAGAACAAGCTCCGTATATTAACTTGATAGTAGCAATAAACTTAAGATGAAAACGATTGAGATTGATAACCTCAACACAAGCAGTTTATTGGTTTAATCAATATAATTAATTCCCCTTGGCATATTAACCATGATATGCATGCATTAATAATCCAAGTTTACTACTGTTGAAAGAACCGGATTAATAACAAGTGTATTAACCGATTGATTCTAGTAATAATTAATATAAGAGACAAAACTAGTTGATACTTTAAGTAATGTTCAAAATATTAATATGGAATATGAATAGGAAAGAATTAATATTCAAGGAAGAAGATTAAAGAAAATAACTCACAACTTACAAATCATTAAGCTTCAAAATAGCAAAACCAAAATGGAAGATTTTAGCTCCTCATTTGGAGACTAAACATGATGAAAAATATAAAGCAAGAACTATTCTAGACTTAGCTTAGATGTATAAGTCAAATGTTCACGAGTAAAGTCAAATGTTCACAAGTGTTTAAGTTTTCCAAAGTTTCAACAATTTTACAAGATAAAAGCACAAAGACCACCAAGGATAAAATATGAGTTTTAAGTTCAATTTACAAATATTATCTTGGGTTTTATGCCCTTCTAGTGCTCATCTTCTCTTCTCCTCCTCTCTTCTTCTTCCTCTTCTTCTTGACTCTTCTTTTCCTCCAAGGAGATGAAATGAGTTCCTGCAAGAACAAATATTTGTCTCATATCTCTCATTTTGCCTAGGAGCCTTTTCAGGTTTTCATCCTAGCATCTCTTTTCATTTTCCATTCTCCCCAACTCACTCGTTTTTTTTATAAGCCTTTTTTGCTTAGATTGCCCATTTTGTTGGGTTTTCAACCTAACTAGCATTTCTTTTCTTTTATTTATTTATTTATTTATTTATTTTTTGAAAACCAATGGTAAAAGAAGTTCATGCGTAGTGAAAGGTAATAAATGAAAGTACATACCATAAGAGTCTCTCCCCCACACTTAGGTCAAGCACTGTCCCTAGTGCCCGCCTTCTCCGCCGTAGTAGCTGCCTCCGAAGCCGCTCCCTTGCCCGCCATATCCCATGTATGTGTCCCCGCCATCTCCGCCATCGTACCCTCCACCCCCGGAGCTAGATCCTCCAAAGTTACCTCAATGAGTGGGGTCATACCACGAGGGTGGTGGAGGGGGGTTCGCCATGGTCTGAAAAGATCCCTGCTGGGCCATGTAAGAGTACATAGGTCCGTAAAACCTACGTTGATCCTATTCATACCGATGCCTGTCGGCTTCCCGAAGCTCCTCCAACCGTTGAAAACCCGCCCTTTGCTCCTCCTGTATTTGGTTGAGCCGTTCTCCCATGGCCATGTAGTTTGTGTTCATTTGATTGTACCCCGCAAGCAGTTGTTGTTGACCCTCCAAAAGTTGTTGAAAGAAGTCGAGTGGTGGAGGGTTTTGAGTTTGCTCGGGGATGTCAGCGTCCATGTCTTCATGACCATGGGGTTCAACATAAGGCTCGTACTCGGGTTGGTATTGGGGAGACTCTTGTTCCGGTTCTTGGAGATGCGATGGAAGGGCGTGTGGGAATAGGTAATGGGGCACCTCTACCTCTTCTTTATAGAGCAGTTTGGGAAGTTCTTGGTTAGGTAGGAGGAAGTATTTGAGAGGCTTGGGGTGTATGAGCCAGTTATACATGTTTTTTGGTCGTTCACCACCATAAACTGTATGGGAAAAGGCTGTGCATCCCGAATGGCCTAACCAAGAGATGTTCATCAAACAATAGTCGGGTATAGGAGAGTTATCCGTATACCCGAACTTGGTGGCTAAGTGCATAATCACCCACCCACAACAATAGCCCCCTTGGCTGTGCTCTCCTTTTTCAGATGTGCCCACATAAGATTGCACATATTAAAGTCCACATGAACACGGAATAGGGCTACAGACATCTAGCATACATCCCCCATCCTAGTGTGATGGTTGTTGGGACGTCCAAGCAAGCAATTGGCAAGAAATTTCAAGAATAATCGGAGGACGGGGTGTTGGACATGACTAATATACAGTTGGGAGGAGCTAAATTTTGCTTCCCCGGTCATCTTTGTCCACAGGGAATGGCCGAAAGCACTGTTATCGGATATGGATTTTTGCTAGGGAACCGGAATGCCAAAATGTTCGGCGAACTCAAGTTTCGTTATTGAATGGTTTTGGTTAAACAGACGAAACTTGAGTCTATCATCCCTAAAATCAGCTTCATCGGTCTCAAATTGCACCAAACTCATGAATTCATAGATTATTTTTTCGTTAGAGTTGTATTGCATTTTGAATATATGATCCATGCTCAACTCATGAAAAAATTTCCTAGTGCTCTTATACACTCCTAATTCATGGAGAGCATCATGGCATAAAAAACGGGAAGGTTTTACTTGCCTTGGAATTGTAGTGATGAACCGAGTTCGGTGTTCGTTGTTGGCGAAGATGAGGTCCTCGTAGCCTGGGATGGGTGCCATAGCGTTGGAGCTCTGCCCTTTATCCATCCTTGGTGCCATTTTTGGAGATTTGGAAGCTCAAAATCCGAAAATTGAAATTTGGGGGTAGGGTTTTTCGGACCTGTGGAAATTGGGGAAAAGTTGTATTGGTGGGTATGGGTGTGTAGAGGAAGGTGAGGGGAGTATTTTGGTGGTGGGATGGGGTGATTTAGTGAAGAAATGAAGAAGATATGGTAGAGAGAAGGTTTGAAAATGGAGGTTGGGGGAGAGGGGTTCGAAATTTGGGTTTGGGATTTGGGGAAGTTGAAGTGATTTGGGCGTTTTTGGGGTTAAAACGCCCGTATACCCGATCGAGTATGGGAAGTTACTCGGTCGAGTATGGCTGGAAACCCGAAGTTTTGAGAAGACTGCCTCCGGTACCCGATCGGGTATAACACAATACTCGATCGAGTATGTTTCTTTTTCCACGTTTTGAGGCCTGTACTCGATCGAGTGCTGGAGTCAGCTTCCATTGAACTTTGTCTTTCTGTACATACTCGACCGGGTATGTAGTGATACCCGGTCGGGTATCCTTTGTTTTGCAATTCTTGAGCCCTGTACTCGATCGAATGTGGGGGTAAGCTTCCTTTGAACTTCGCCTTTCTGTACATACTCGACCGGGTATATAGTGATACCCTATCGAGTATGCATGATTTCTTTCAAAAATCAATACTCCTTCGATCGAGTAATGCCCGGTTCCCCTTCTTTTGGCCATACCCGACCGAGTATAAGGTGGTACTCAATCGGGTATGTCCCCAGATGCTTCAAAACCTGCATTTTTTTTCTTTTTCTCCAAAACCTGTGATTAGTGCCCTCTCTCTCAACCTCTCAAAATAGAAGCTTGAATTTTGACAGGGGAATTAACAAAAAACGTACCTTGCTTGGGTTGCCTCCCAAGAAGCGCCTTAGTTAACATCGCGGCACGACGCCATGGTTGTGTTCATTCTTCAAAGATTGGATCGATGAGATCCATGCATTCAACGCTTTCTTTTGGGAAACCTTCAAGGAACGGTTTGAGTTGATGTCCGTTAACCTTGAAGATTTTTCCGGTGTCGAGGCTTTTTATTTCAACTGCTCCATGGGAGTAGACTTTGACCACCTCGAATGGTCCTTCCCATCGTGATCTCAATTTCTCGGGGAAAAGGCGAAGGCGTGAGAGAAAAAAGAAGGACTTTGTCTCCAACTCGGAAATCCTTTCTTATTATCATTTTATCATGCCATACCTTCGCCTTCTTCTTGAAGATGGTGGCATTCTCATAGGACTCTAGTCGAAGCTCCTCTAGTTCTTGGAGTTGCAGCCTCCTTTGTTCTCCCGCTTTTTCCATGTCGAGATTGAATGCTTTTACCGCCCAATAAGACTTGTGTTCTAGTTCGACCGGAAGGTGACAGGCCTTACCGAACACGAGTCTATAAGGTGACATTCCAATTGGGGTCTTGAAAGCAGTTCTGTATGCCCATAAGGCATCATCCATGCGTAGACTCCAATCCTTACGGTTTGGATTTACTGTCTTTTGAAGTATAGACTTCAGCTCTCTGTTTGATATCGTTTATCTGTGGGTGGTAGGCGGTGGAGAGTTTATGAGTGACACCATATTTCTTCAACAAGGCACTCACAGTTTTGTTGTAGAAGTGAGTGCCTCTATCGCTTATTAAGATATGTGGGACTCCAAACCTTGAGAAGATGCGGGTTTTGAGGAATTCCGTCACCACTTTGGCATCATCAGT